TGCCGTGTGGGCGGGGGTCTTGAACATGGTGCGCCGCCTGTGGAACACCTCCACAATAGTGTCCTGCTGCTCCCGATCAATGTCACGACATGCGGATAAACAAGATGCAATCATTTTCTCGTAACGTCGCAGAATCTTGCTGATCTGGCGTGTGTCGCTGTCCACCAACTTCAGCATGCCCATGATGGGCTCTAGCATCTTGCACAGAGCTCTCCAATCCTCCCACCATGGAGGGGAGCCGATACATGCAGTGACCTCCGCTGCATCCTTGCGGATCTTGCTGGTCGACCAAACAGTCTCGCGCCAGCGATCGTTGGCCACAACATCTGTCAACGCGGCCCACAGTGCCACCAGCCTCTCCATCATGATGACGTTCGTGCCGAAACGCGTCTCCGCCGGTAGCAGAAAAGTCTTCGTCGAGTGCGCCTCAAGAACCTCTCTCGCATGTCCATGGCGCTTGAAGAACCTTGTAACCAGCCTCGCTTGAGAAAAGCGGGAAGCCACCCAATCAATCCCGCCGATGTTCTCGAGAATGAGATCCATGATATGGGCGACGCAAGGAATCCAGAAGATGTGTTTCACGCTCTCATCTTTTTGGAATACCTCCATCGCCGCGACGTTCACCCAGGCGGAGTCCGTCACGAACGTGGTGATATCGCTCAATTGAACGTCCATGGACTTCACCCTTTTCAACCATGCGTTCGCGAGGGCACTGGCATCCTTTTTGCCACGCATGACGTCGGTGGACACATACACCACCCCGATCTCTGTACCAACAAGGTAGTTGCACAACGTCTGACCACGGATGTTAGTCCAACCATCGGTCATGATTGTGCAACCGGTCTCTCTCGACGTGTCAAGCACCGGCCGAACACACTTCTGGACCTCACCATCCAGCTCGTCCAAAAGGGTCGTGCGCAGCATGTGGTACGAGGGAAGTCTAGGCGTGGGCGCCCCTGGAAACCCCGACGGGATTATCATCGTGAACATGCGTTTGAAGCTTTCAAGCTTCGTGCTGTTGAACGGCATCCCGCTCTCGACGATGAACCGCATGATTTGCAAATGCCATGCGCGCTCCAAAGGGTCCGAATAATATGACGTGACGGCTTGCTGCCTGTAAGTGCCCCGACATCGTCCCGTCGTAGCTCTCCCGCCGAGGACCCCAGCATCCAACAACCCGCCAGGGCTCACAGGTGTCGCGCTCTGGGCGACTGCAAGGTCACGAATGCGCTGCAAAGGGTCTAACGTTCCGGTCAACACGGGTGGAGGTTGTGGGGCAGACCGACCACCGCCCGTGGTTGTCGGAACAGGGGTCGGCGATGAATCGGACACCGGAGCGGGGACCTCCTCGGCAGGCACCGCATGATCCACCTGTTCCCTGAAACGAGGCACGGAAGCAGAATGTCGAGCATCTGCAGGTGCGTGTGACAGATCCGGGTGGGCGGTTCCGTGAGCGTGGTGGACCATTGGACGCTGCGCCGCTCTCGACGGTGGCGGTGGCAGCCAGGGGTGCTCCGACGAACTGCGGGGKGATGCGCCAGGTGCCACCGCAGTACCACCCCGTGCGGCATCTGACTACCTAGCACTCCTAAAAACAGGGGCGAGCTAGGGCGCTGAACTGCTGGCACTCCCCCCCCACCTGCGACTCTCAATAAATGCACGTGTGCTCTCCTCGTCAAATGCCGCAGAGCCCACACCATTCCTCAGAGGCGGGGGCTCGTTGGCTGGTGTGGAACGACCAACTCCCACATCGCGAGCACCTCGTGTCCCAGCCAGCGGCGCAGACGGCGGGGCTGCCGGTCGTGTTGCAACTGTTGTTGCAGGACGTGGTACCGTGATTCGAATGGCCGGAGCCCCAGAATTGGGCGATGCGACGGCTCCAGAAGGGGCGGTGGGAGGAACCAGCGGCGGCACTGCGTCCTCGGGGAATCGAAGAGGTGGCCACTGCAAGCTCGGATGACCTGGCAAGTGGCTCTGCAACTTTTCTATGGCCGACGCGAACTCCCTTGGACATTTTGTCATGTCCGTCGACCAGATCGCATTCCACACAGCAGGAGTGGTTGCCTCACATCGGAACTTCTCGCTCTTCGAGAAGTGCTCCCTGGCGGTTTTAGCGCCCCCACAAATCGAACGCCCGCACAACCTGCACAGGCATCGACGACCGCTCTTCCTGCCCGCCGCCGTTGACCCATCCAAATAACGCCCTCTGGCCACGAAATGCCACACCGGGTCGTCCCGCTTGCCGTCGACTGTCGGGTCGACCTTGAACGGCGAGTCAAACGTCTTCGTGTTATGACCTTGTCGGGCGGTCGTGAGCGAGTCTAACGGATCCTTCCCCCGGTCCTGCGACATGATGAAAGTCGCCAACCGCGAAAAAAAAAGACGATATCGGAACCCTTTAAGAATGTTGCCAACTCGCAACAGAGACCGAAGTCGGCGTTAGAGCGGCAAAGAAATGCTATGAAACAGGCAAAAATGATGAACGCAAAGTGCAGAACACCTGGACATCAGAGGGAAAACACAAGACGACATGAAACAAAAAAACGAACAACCAAAGAACAACAAAAAAAACTCAGAACTCGGAGGCAAAAAAAAAAAAACGCCGATGTTCTTTGTCCCTTGTCAAAAAAACGACAATGTTCTCCGCAAGGCAACCGTTCCACAGGCGAAACTTCCGATTCCAGGAGGGCGATCCCACTAGCCACGTATGTGGAACAGTGTGACTGGTGTGGGACGGCTGGGGGACAGGCGGGTGGTAGAGGGAAAAAGGGAAAATAAATGGAAAAAAAAAATGGCAAGATTAACTCCACACACCGTTTGCTAACTCTACACACCAACAAAAGAGAGAGAGAGAGAGAGAGAGAGAGAGAGAGAGAGAGAGGCCACCAGCTTCCTGCCCCAAGGCTGAAAAGGCCACCCTAAGGCTATCAGGCCACCCCGGGCTATCAGGCCACCCTAAGGCTATCAGTCCACCCTGGGCTTTCAGGCCACCCTAAGGCTATCAGGCCACCCTGGGCTCTCAGGCCACCCTAAGGCTATCAGGCCACCCTTGGCTGAAAAAGGCTATCACAGCCTATCCGGCCACCCTAAGGCTATCAGGCCACTTCGTATTTTCCGAAAAACCATAAAAGTTGATAAAACTGTGTCACATGTCGTAGAATACTTCGCTAGTGGGTCCAGCCTCCAGGACTCTACGCCCCAGGTTAGTCCGATGGTAATAACTTAATAAGACAAGGCCATCGCCCTTAAAAAAAAAAAAAAAAAAAAAAGCCTAGCGGGCCCAGGCCCCCGAACCGCTGACATCCGCCCT